AATTTTCTTATCTATGAAATGGGAAGGCTGACTGACCTCTTTTCTCTGTAGTACCTCTCAGCTCTTCCATCCAGTCTAGGAATCTGCCTTCCTGCTGCATGTAGGTTTTAAAGAGGTTTAAAGGTAGACCAAAGCTTACATCTCAGCTTGAATATAAGAATGGAGTTCTGCATAGAGCTTAGGGAAGAGTGAATCCCAAGGAAGGATCCCATCCTCTCCTCAAGAGGCCACAGGGCAGTCATGGGAACCTGGAGACCACTTACAGTGTAGAAGTTGAGAGACAATTGGCTTTCAAATGTGCCCATGCTCCCGTTCTTCACGTGAACAGTGGCCACTCTGAAAAGGGGAGAGAATTTTGCATAAGGACTGAAATATGCCTGATTGACAAGGACTGCAGAGCACACGCAAGGCGGCCAGCCCCCCACTCTGAGAAACTTACCTCTGGTCAAAGGCAGCCTGGTTCACCAAGTAGGTGGAGTGGTAGGTGCAGGAAAAGGAGTAGTTCACGGGCTGGTTCTTCACAATCACTGTGCTGTCATTGGAAACAATGTGGCTGTAGAAGTGGTAGATGGGGGGCTTGTACTGGAGGAAGGAAGAAGGCAGTTAAGGTGGACCTGTACCCCCATGAGGAGAAGGAGGATTCTGAGAAAAGTGATTGAAGTTGGCTCAGAAAACTACCCCATGGGCAGACATGAATATCTGCCATTGAGAGCAGCACCCATTCTTTTTGTCTGGGTGGGTTGGTCATTTTTATAAAGAGTTCTTGAGCCTGTTCAACTACGATCATTTAAAATAATTTAAGTTGAGTGCTGTATATTGAATGTTGTATCCACTCCAACTAGTGGCTTTATTGGGAGGTTGCAGATTTCTCCTCTGTCATAAAGGATATGCAAGAGGTTGTCTATGGTTCCTTTACATTCTGATGACCTTTCCTGGGTAGTTCACAAGAGCTCATTATGAATTGTGTTATAGTTTGGTTACTCCTTTACAATGCCCTTTACCACCAGTTCAAAGCCTGGGGCAGAAGATGTCCCACCCATCCAACCCAGGAAGCAGCTTTTGAGCACAGGCTCAGACCTCAAAGCAAAGTAGAGGTGGGAAATGTATGTTGCTCTATTCACAGAAGGTGGCCTAGTTGGCTCTGGCAACCAATCAAGAGACTAAAATTCAAATCCAAAGAGTCACCTAAACTAGGCAGAAGAGAAGAATTTAAATGACATTGACATCCCAGGAAATGAGATTAACTCTTAAAAGGAAATGGGTGAATTCTAAATCTTTCTAAGAATGGACAGCAGACATCTTATTCTTGGGCCCAGCTCTCGTCTTAGCGACTCCTCATTGTGTGGGCTGAACTTACCTCGGACTGGGTTCCACAATAGGACTTGTTTTTAGGTGACAAATCTGGGATTACAAATTGGTAGTATCCTCCTTCATGGACCCCATTGTAACACAGCCCGCCCAGGGCCAGCTGATGTACTTCCCATCCATAGGGACACTCGGGGATTTTGGTGATGATGGTTTTTGGGTAACAGAACACAAGAATGACATCTAGAAAGAGGATACACATGGTTGGAAATCAGATATGGTGATCATAGTGATCTACATAAGTATCGGTGGATTCTAGCGATACTCTGATCTACATAAGTATCGGTGGGTTTAGCGATACCCGAACATGCAAAACAATTGGTTAAAAACACTTTCCCTGTTATTCTTCATGGGCTGTGACAAAAGTTTTCCCAAACCTCAGTTATTCAAGTTCCAGTTTTATAGTTTTTGCTACATCTGTGTGATATCTGCATGATACTTAATATGTGTTCAAAATCCCCCCACATTTTTTAAAATTTTATTTTCTTGTTTAAAGTA